AGACATACTATTGTATTATGAATGTTAAAAGCCACAAACGCGGATTAACAGTTTTTATTCCATCGAAAGGGAATCGACCGTTTCCAAGACACAAAAAGTAGTCTAGTAATTGAAGAAACCAGTTTGAGGTTACCCAGATCCTAAAGACAGCCCGAATACCGAACATATTGGCAACATAACTGTGATAAAGGGTTAGGCAAACACAGTGAGAAGTGCAGCCACCTGGTCTCTTCGGTGAACCCTTGAATCTTACTCTCACCAGTTGAGAATTGCTATGATCCATACCTGTCTTTTGAGAATTGGATCAAATCAATGCAGGAGATCGATGTACGCGTCAGTTTCTTTCTTGCTCTTTAGAAATATGGAATGCGAAACTGTAAGTGCAGTGTGGTGTTGTTCGTTGACATTTGTTTTGTATTTGTGGAATTTTTTGAGAACTTTTAATTTTTTTTTTCTTGAGATGATATTGACCTTTGCTTCTAGGACGATTCAAATGTAACAAAATGTAAATGCTTCTAGGTCATCGTTTTTTTTAAGGCTTTTATCCGTCCTTCAAAAAATGTATGGCATGTATCTTGAGGATTCATGCACGTTTTCAACAAGGGAAAACAAATTTAGTAGCAGACTAGAAAAGCGAATTCTTATATCAATGTTCAAAACAGATTTTCTGCTCATCATAATCCACTGAAGTGAAGTGATATTTGCACGATGACAACGTTGCAATTGATTTTGATATTTCAGAATTTAGTACTTCGATGAGGGTGTACGGTGTATAAAGCATTTTTCTAAGCTAAAAGTTATCATAACGTTCCAAATTAATAATTTATAATTATGTTTTTTTTATGGAACGTTTTATACGCGAATAGTGCTTTAGATGTTCGATCCGAAGATGTCAATTAGACTAATTGCTGTTCTAAAGCTACATGTAGCCACTGTCATTTATGCTATTGGAATACACAAAACACATTTTAAAATGTCCTAAGAAACAAAACAAAAAGAAACCGTTAGAACAAAGCATCCAAAAACACTCAATAAAAGATTAGACGTTTGGAAAAAGATTAAAAAAGAATAGGATTTTAATATACTCTTACGTTATACATGTTACAGTCTCTTTGTGAAGGTCCTCTGTAGGAATTTGACAGCTCTACTCGAGTGTTTGTGATTTTTGCAATATTTATAGAAATATTATTACTGACAGTAATACGCCACATTGTTGGGCAGAGAAGTTAACAGCTTTGAAAGAAATATTGACAGACGTTTATTTTGACAAAGATACAGACAGACAGACAGACAGACAGACAGACATACAAACAAACAGACAGACGGACGGACAGACAGACAGACAGACAGACAGACAGACAGACAGACAGACAGACAGACAGACAGACAGACAGACAGACAGACAGACAGACAGACAGACAGACAGACAGACAGACAACGGACGGACGGACGGACACGACACCATGCGGATTTGGGACCAAAGAGGTAGATAATAATAATAATAATAATAATAATAATAATAATAATAATAATAATAATAATAATAAATAGCATTTGTATAGCGCATATCCCCGCTCAACAGCAGGCTCTATGCGCTTTACACTACATTATTACCCCAACAGAGCAGGGACACTCCGAACCATTCTCAGCTTCCCGGGAAGCACACAGTGCAAGCAGCTGATTAAGCGCTCAAACACTATAAAACTGACAAGATCTTTCGCTGTCTTTAGCCGGGTACCCATTCCCACCTGGGTGAAGTGAGGAAAATTCGTGTAAAGTGCCTTTCCCAAGGACACAACGTTGGGCCCCTGACGGGATTCGAACCCACGACCTTACGGTAGCGAACCTAACCACTAGGCCACCGACGCCACAGATAAACTAAAAAAGTAGAAGGGCGCATGGAAGAATTGGTTTCGTGTATATTAACCACCTGCTCAACGTTGAATGTGGCCAACAAGTGAGGTTTTAGAGGACATGGATAGACTAATGAGACATACATTTTTTAAGCTACCTATAACGTGGAGACTATAACTCGCCCCTTAAAACTTGGAATTTCATCGCGATCCGTGTATTTAAACATGCCCAGGACTTTTTTTTATGTTCCCCGACATTGTATACCGTATTAGGCCTAATACCTGTCATGTTTCCCCACTGCCTGTTGTTAATTCAAGGATTGTCGAATAATAAAATCTTGCTACTCTCAGTTCATTCCACCATCATTAGCTTTGTTTATCTTGGCTGACGGTCAATTAAAACTGTCGTACTGCTATCATCATGAAGAATTCGTCATTCTGATCAATTCCATACGTGCGATGTTGCGAGAACTAATCTCTGTAATGTGGTACGAGTTAGCAATACTCTGGGATATTTATTATGAGCAAAAGCCATTTTGAGCTATGAGACTCCATGGATAAAGATAAAGCCCCCCCCTCTCTCTCTCTCTCTCTCTCTCTCTCTCTCTCTCTCTCTCTCTCTCTCTCTCTTTCTCTCTCTCTCTCACTAACACACACACACACACACACACACACACACACACACACACACACAAACACACACACAAACACACACATACGTACACATCGCTTATGTTACTGAAGCTCAAGGGATCCAGCAGATGTAGGGCGATACGTGCGGTATCCTAATGATTTGGCCGTCGATCTGTTAATAATGTTTTTATTGGAAAGATCCCAGTCGTGGAATACGCATCAACCGAGGCTATTCGTAGTACAGATGTAAGGATAGGAGAATTTCGGAAAATGTATCCCTCCCACGTGGTTTGAGGAAAGGGATTTTAGACATAGTGATGACAGATTTATAATAAGATCTAACTTATTTGGAAGGCATTCGAAAAGATCATTCTTTTATATTGGAGCTGAATGGTGTAAGGCTGGCAGCAAGAATGATAAATCTGATAGGGATAAAAAGCTAAGACGACGAGAGATAGAATTACGAAAAGTCAAACTCTCCAATTTAGTCAAATATGTGTAAGCCAGTATTTTTTTCATTTAAAGTAGGTGCCCACCTCACTGCACTGCGAAAGTGCTTGCACTCTCCCCAGACTATGTTGTGTTTTGCAGAAGATAAACACAAACGAACACCTTAAGCCACAACATCGAAGACAGGATAGATCAAAACGTGATGCACAAATCGTAGATTACTTTACCAGGTGCTGCGCTGATAAGAATCCTTGCTTTCCGTAAGGAACAGTTTATGACGCAAACACCTCCTGTCGTCATTCCGGATTCTGTAAACACAAACAGAAGTGGCTAGCTCCGGGCAATATCGGCTCCTTGCCATTCATGCTTCTTCTGGCTTCTACCCTGCAAGTTGAGGAAATTGAAAAGAAAAAACGCGCTATGCTATAGAACATGCCATTTGAGTTGTTTGTAATCAGATTGATCTGTTATCATAATAATTGTAACGGTATGCCCTTCACGGACGATAGACAACAGTTGACGGTACGATTCTGGATTACGTCATCTTGCTTGGCGTGTCACCGCAACACGTCATAGTTTATGAACGAAAACGCAGCTGTAACGCGGGTCTTGAGAATTTGGCGTTAGATCTAGTTGCGTTTTGCAAATTTACGTTAGAGAGGGAGTGTCTGCATTTGAACTATACTTTTGACAGAGTAATAATAATATGCGGCTGCAGGTGATCCACTTGGGGGTCCGGTACGACGAGCTGAATAAAAATACTTCAAAACCGTAATAGAGGTATACATTGATGGAAATGTTGATAAACATCTTGCATCTTGCTTTGGACCAATATTTTGACAGATCTGAGTTATTGTGTGTTCCTACGTTACCCACGTTTATTTGGCTGCTTAAGCCCAAACTTGCATCCTGATGTTATACTGATAACCTTGGCACCTCTTTAGATATATCCAAAACCCAATTAGTTTTCAGGAAACATGTCGTTTGTGAAAATACTTCCATTCTATATTTCTGAGACCGTTCTCACAGAATTCATACAGAGGCGCGTCACACTAGCCTGGTGAGAAGTTATGGGTTAAGCCAAGAGCCAGCGTGTATGTACGAAAAGTACTACAAAATAGTAGCTGGAACCCAGAGATGAGAAGACGGAGGTTTTTGGTCGAAAGTAAATTAATGGTTTACAAACGCAGGAATCCGACTCGATCTATTATGGGCCGAAAACTGTTCATCAACCGATCCCTCTCCTTCGTAATTTAATAATTAAAAGCAGTGCATAACATAAACAAAACCGATCGGAAACGAGGGTGAGGATAGTCTGTATGTGCATAACATACTTTGAATAGAGAATAGGTCACGGCCATGTCAAATAATGCAATATAATGTCATATTGTACTGTCGAATCACATGTGGATGCTTTCATAGATCTCTGGTACTTCGGTACTGGAATGATTTAAGAAAGATTACGTAACGCTAAGGCAAAGGTCTGGATTCCTTCCAGAACCTTTCTGTCGCTATTTGCAGGAAACCCAAAGTTGGTCGCAGGTATAGCATTCCTCGTGTTTAATGTCACACCGAGCTGTGCCTTACCGTTCATTGTACGTATAGTTTGCTGAAATGTCATGTACAAACGGAATGGGTAAGAAAATAACCCTGTCGTCAGGGGAAATATGGGGTACCCTCGTTTGGGTTAGTAGATATCCGGGGAGAGAGAGAGAGAGAGAGAGAGAGAGAGAGAGAGAGAGAGAGAGAGAGAGACGATGGGTACGATGCATGTGAGCAAATGTGTGTGGGCATGTGCGAATGTTGGTATACATATTATCATGTAATATAAATGTATAGGCGAGGTCGTATGGGCATGTATGCTTGCATTTATTTATGAGGGCATGTAGTATTAATATAATAATTATTATTTTTATTATTAATATCATTATTATTAGCTCCAGCTGTCTCAGTCGGTATTTTCATCGGTAATCTTTAAAACCTATGTGTCAATGTTATTTCCTATTAATCTTGCTTTATTCAAGGCTTTTTCTTAACTACGTTCACCAATTCTGTCATCACCAGGTGTGTTTAGCCGCAGCCAGGGCAAGCAACCTCTGGACCTGAACCATCTCCCACGTTTTGTATCCAGCAGTAACAACTACAGCTACCGGGTGGGGGAGGTGGCGGTGTTGAGGTGCACTGTCGAGAACCTGGGAAGAAAACAGGTATCTGTCCACTCGTTGATTTTCTTTTCTCCAGTTAAAGGGCTTTAAGTGGTGGATCAACTGATACATGTAATACTTTGTTGCTTTTTTTTTCTCTCCTCTTTTAGTGCTCGTATTTGTGTGTTGTCTCTTATTGTTGTGTGTGTGTGTATGTATGTATGTGTGTGTGTGTGTGTGTGTGTGTGTGTGTGTATGTGTGTGTGTATGTGTGTGCTTGTGCTTGCCTTTGTGTATGTGAGTACACATGTTCACGAGTGTGTATTTGTGATATAATATTGATGTTGGCGCGCTTGCCAGGTTTATTAAAATCTCAACGTTTGTTTACCTTCTTGACCTTCGATCATGGTTTAAAGCCACCTTCCTGTACTTTGCCTTTTTTTCAGCAAAAGAAAATTCCTGTTAGAGATGCAACATAGAAAGAAAGATATAAACGAAGCTTTTTACAATCTAGCATAAGGCTATTGTCAGAATGAGCATAGATATGTGTTGCTCTGTAGAGTATGTATCAATATAACGCCAATGGTCTTGCAATTAGATTCCTACATGTAGCTGAATGATGTATCTAATGTGAATGCACATTTTGTCAGCTTTACTTCTCTTTTCATATCCAATTTTACTGAGAGTAATAAATAATTTAAATTTCTTATGTATACCTGCATGTGTTTTTACGGTCCCGTACAGGCAAGAAAAATTTCCCTCTGGGATAATAAAATATTATCTTATCTTATTTTATCGCCCAAGGGTTCGATCTTCTGGATATTCAGATCTCCTCTTTGTATCTTCCATAGGTGTCGATTTGTTTCTATAACATTCTACATTCTTTACAATGCTTAATGATATATGGAAAACAACGCCGGCTAAATGTTGGTACGAGTGTCCGATGTGGATTTTAGTAGTTTCCTTTTCAAGTTATATACTCTCAATTTGGTTACTAAAGTCTACCAACCAGCTGTTTATTCTCATCTCCCACTTCTTGTCTAGACATGTCTAGACAGTAAATTATCCCCATCGAGCTACAAATTTTTATATTGTTTTTTTTTTATTATTATCACATCCGTAGAAGACACATGATGTAATATTTATGATATAAAAGAAAATATTACATATCCTATCATATCATATCAACATACTGATAATTGTGAAGAAGCATATTGTATCCTCCCATGCCAGTTACTAAACTTTATAGAGTGACGCGAATAAGAAACCCGGTTGTAGGCATGCTTTCTTTATGTGAGTGCGAGTATTGAGTTTCCAAAACTCTTGAAACTTTTAGTTGGGAAGGGATCCCAACTAAAGCCTTAAAAGTCTTATGTCGAGACAAATATCGTTTGCGGGAACGAAACTAGCAAAGAAGATTGGAATCTGTTCCTGTATGTGAATGCTGCATTGTCAAGTCTTAACAGTATCACATTGGACGGCTATCCCTATCTTTGACAGTACATATTAAGATCGTGAAAGATTTCATACTTACCCCTCACATTACTTGTCCATTCTGTATAGATCTTGATGTAAGATGATATGAGATCAGAACGTATTTTTAAAAATCCTGCCACTTGGGTACACAAGGGGTGGGGGGTTATGTTTAGTCACATAGACCCTCAAAATGCGAAAGTCTGTATGTCTGTCCGTTTGTCTGTATTTTATTATGTTAGTGTGCCGTTTATTTTATATATGTCTTTCACCCATAACTCGTGTGTATGCACTGCGGAAAAAGTCAGAAGGTGGAGAGTGGATGCAGGGAGTAGAAATGTAGTGGGATGAATTTTTTTGTTTTTAAGAGAGAGAGAGAG